TGGGGGGGCTAGTCAGTTCCCATACAGGCTATCATGCCTCAGTTGTCCTAATTGCAAAGGGAAGAGAAGCAAATATTAATACACCAGAGGGCCTGTAGGCATGTCAGAATGAATATAAGTAGGTGCCCAAGAGCCCTCTTTACTAGACTACCTAGATAGCTAGGGCTAACTAATACCCACCGGTTCAACTCATGTCCTGTTCACCAGTGATGATTAATCAGCCAATTTTTGACAAGACTATTCATGGCTGTTCAGCAGGTAACTTCACTGTATTCCTCCCTATCAGTACAGTACAGTGTAATTTGCTGTGCTACTGCTCTAGCAAATGTTTATATAGACAGTTAAATCAGTCACAAATCATATAAATAGTTATAACACTGCATTTTAAAAAACCCTAGTGTGTTGCCTAAGCAGACTTTTTTAAACAATTGCTGCTGATCTGTTTGGATCTCCTAATGCGAGAAAGATGTCCCAAAATTCTAACTTTAATCAACTTGATTTTCCCCCCTATTTGTAACCTCATACTTTGTGTTAAATACTCTCTGTGACTTTAAATGTACTCTGGCATCAGTAATGACATGGACACAATTAGCTTTAAGTATGCCAGATGAGGCAGTACATGCAATAACCATTTGTCATTAGGAGTGTATGAGCCCATTTGGGAGAAAGAAGAATGTTTAAACAGTATGGGTAAGTCGGGTGCTAAATTGGAAACATTGTTGAAGTGTTTATTAATATTGTACACTAGATGTTTGCTTGCTTTGTTATTAAGGATATATGATTCAACTTCCACATTATTCTAATTGTAGAACACGCCAGTGTGTGTACCTCTTGGAATGTGAGTGTAAAATGCGATACATAGGTATTTCTATGCGTATGATCTGTTTGGATCAGCAGCATTACATGCACAGTTTGGCAAAAATCCACTGCAAGCTTACTTGGCAGGCATTCAAACCATTCACTGGTGAACTGAACAGATGCTGCTCAGCTCATGTCTGACCATCACACTTGAACATGGCAAGTTCAGCTTTGAACACAATCCCTGTAAATAGGTGCAGCACCTCAGGACCTGACTCCAACACCCTGTAAGGGGCAGATTTTCCTCTTCCAGTCAGTCACTGTATTCCTGATCCATTTAGGCTAGCAGAAGATTCAGGTCCAGATTCTTTGCAGTCAGGGCTGTGAGTATCTTTGTACTTTAGAGAGGAAAGAAAAGTTGAAAGCAGTGGGGGGGGGAGAATTCTGATTTCCCTTATGGAGAAATCCACCAATCACCTTTCTCTAGAGGGCTCAGTTAAGTAGGGGCTCCTTCAATTTATCCTTCCCTCACCCACCGTGGCAGTCCCTTTGAGAACACAGAAGCACACACATGTTCCCCTGCTTTTCACTTTGGAGGAAGCTTTGAGCTCACTAGAGACTTTTTGCAGCGTTCATTGAAAAATTTGGATAAATATTTTGGTATTTGGCAACCTTGTGCTTGGAAATATCTGTTGAACTCCCTGAGGAAGGCACTGAAACAGGAGGATATCTGGACCTCTGTTGGAGGAAGACTGAGCATTAATTCAAAAGAGTCCTCCCTCTTAAAACTTTTGTATAATTAAGGAGGACTGATATTAATAAAGGGGTTGTGCAATATCTTTTGTGATATATTAAGAGACGATACTTAGACGTTTTGATATATGATTCTTGCTATGTATTAAGGCTTATATGATAAATAATATATGATGAATAAGTTGTAAAAATATAAAACAAAATATATATATATAAATTATTCGAGATATTTTATAATTGTCTGTAGCACGGTATTTGCTGATTTTTGGTATTCTTACTTACCGTGGGTCCTATTTTGGTTTTGTGTTTAGCAAAAGATCTCATGCAGGCCAAACCTTTTATTTCCACTCCCACCCTCGACTCAAGAGAAAAATGCTAGCCATGATCTGGTAAAATATATTTTATTTCTTCATACAAAGAAATAGTATGAATTATCTGAATTTCATTTTCCTAGAAACCTTTCTCTGTGTAAAATTAATTTGTACATACCACAAAATACTCAATGTACAAGTTTTTGCCTGCCTTTCTTCCCTTTACAAGTGTACTATTCTAAGATGTACCATGTTACAGAAAACACACACAACAAAATTGCTAATATCTGGACATACTGCACAGCTGAATACAGGGCTGAATGAAACTCAGCCATAAATTAATGTTACAATGTAAAAAAAGTCTAACCATACCTCTGAGTTTGACTATGTCCCCCTTGTGAACCAAGTAAAGGAGCTGCTCAGGCAGGATTAGCAGTTTGCTTAAAGTATTTGACAAAGAACAGCATATTTATCACTGAAATTCTTATCTTGCAAACCTGTTCAGAACATGTTGTTGATAAAGTAGCCACTCTGCATATGTGACTTTGTACAATTGAAAAAAGCTGTCAGAATACAAAACAGTTTCAAAGAAGAAACATGTTTGAGAATCAAGTTCTGCAGTTTAGTATTTCTAAAACAAGTTTTATAATTGAAGACAAAGAGCAGTAATACATGGGAAGGTGCCACAACTCCCTGAATCAACCAAAAGCACACAGCCTGATAAGGCCTAGATGTGGCACGGTCACCTCAGCAGAGCATCAAATGGCTTTGAGTCAACAGAAGACCAAAAACTACATGATGACCCCCTTCCTTTGTCTTTACCCTAGACTGAGATGCAAGATTCTCTAGTCTGTATTGCTTTATTAGTAGAAAAAGCAACCTTAAAGATCTGTTCTTTTTACAAAATATTGTATAAACTACCCTGCAAATAGTAACGTGCATCACTACATTAAAAGACATGCAAAGTTTAGGTGGGAAATGAACCCTGCCTAAACACAATCTTAAAGGGACTGAGCCAATACAATCCTCTTAGGCTGAATAGACAAGAAAAACAATCTCTGTAACAGCTGAAGAAAAGTCCCTTGGAGCATGAAGACATCAAAGGTATGTAAACATGACAGGCCTGTTTCAAATCAACATCTTTATCAAGGTGTTAAGTTTTCATAAGGCTTGTGGGACTTCCACTAGTCTCCATGGGGGTATGCGTCCCGTAGTGAATAGCTTGAGGAAGCATGATGTCTTCACGCTACAAAGGACTTTTCTTCGGCTGTTACAGAGATTGTTTTTATTGTCTATTCTGCCTAAGAGGATTGTATTGCTTGGTCCCTTTAAGATTGTATTTCGGCAGGGTTCCTTTCCCACCTGTACTAAGCATGTCTTTTAATATGATACACTTCACTGCTTGCATGGTAGCTTATACAATGTCACTATGAATATTTCTGTAAAAAACAGACCTTGTGTACATTCTTTAAGGTTGCTTTTTGTATTTTTGTACTGATTGTTTTGTTGGCAACTTTCTCCTTGTTTGCTTGTGTTGCTTTATCAGCAGATTTATCAATTTGTGAAGCTTACCACCATCATAACTGTCTAGACTGACAGTACAACCCCAAGTTAAAGTAAAGAGGTTAGAAGGATAAACACTGCTGAAGGTTGCACCACAAATACTGATGGACACATCTACAAGACTTACGATAAAGGGGATGTATACATGTGGGGCGCGCACACAATGTATTGTGCCGGTGTTCCACATGCAGCCATCTGAATCACTCAGTTAGTGTAATGTGTCTCCAATTTTTAAAAAAAGTTAATCTGACTGTGGTGCTCAACCAGAGGACTGTGGTGAACTTTTTGCACAAAGTGTAAATCAAGTGGTGTACTCAGTCCTCCTGTAGAACACCCATACTAATGTTAACTAGTCACATAAGTGCTCAGTTTGCCACTGAGTCAGTCCACTTACTTGTTGCATACTCTGAGAAGCTGCTGTATGCCATCCACCACAGGACTTTGCTATTGACAAGATGCTTGCTAGGCACCTGGACAACTTGTGGAATTCTTTGGTGAGGTTAAGGCAGAGTATGTTACCTGCCCCTCCCCAGTGCTTCTCATAGTAGACTTCACACAATATACCTTCCTCTTTCTATCATATAACCCCATCACACTATATTATTATTATTGCCAAAAGCTTATGTTCAGAACTGTTTGACAGAGGTGGAAAATAGGGCAAACTTCAAGGAGCACGAATGATGTGCACGGGCATGAATTCTGGGCATCATCCAGCAGCACACAACCCCATCACATGCTGCCAGTGTTTTGCACTCACACTTATCTACACAGCTGAATGGTTCACCAGTAGCAAGCTCAGATGGCCTTCTTCCATGAGTCTGATTTAGAAACAAACCTTTAAAAGAAAACCTGCACCATGACATGCCCTAAGCAAGCATTTCACATTTCACTTGTTCCTTCTGGGAAAAGTTCAACAAATAGGCATAGTTTTCAGCTCAGGAAATCTGCTTAAAAGAAAGGAGACTATTTTCACTACATGGTGCAGGGGAAAGACATGGCAGAGGTTCAGGCAACAAAGCTTACACCTTGTTGCAAAGCCTGTGTGAAAAGGGAGGACCAAGGCAAGCATAGCTGGGGCACAGGCAGCAGCTATATGGCTGGAGAGTGCGTGCCACACCCACCTGTAAGGGCAGCTGCTTAAGCTAGGCCTAATATGCTTGAGTTCCATGAGATCATCTGCAAATTCTCTTATTTCAAGGTCAACTAAAACCTCTGTTGCATATAAAGTGATCGGTGAAGAGGGAAGACAGGAGATGCTACCTGAAGGACCTTGCACAAAAAGTGTTTCAAAATGCCTAGTACCCGTATTGGGGGGGGGGATTGTGCTTTTAAAAAGTCAGTTCTCCTTTAGACACCTGCATTCTTTAAAAAAATATTAAATTTCTGCTAGGAAAATACCCAGAAGAACTTTCCCATTACAAACTGAACCAGGCAACCAAAGAACAAGAGCATAGTCAAGATTCAACACATTTATGGTTACAGTGTGGTTAGGCAGCTTAGTGAATTAATTGCTTAAGAATTAAAAATAAATTATTATAAAATAGATTTCTGTACATTTTACATATAGACCTATCTACATATAGGGAGAAGGAAGCAGAATGACTGGATTAACTCTGGCAAGGTCTTCCACATTAACCATTAATCCCAGCCAAAGTCCTGTCCAGTCATCTGGTAGAACTTCATGTTGAAAGGCCTGTAGAACTCTCGTAGCCTCTGGACCACCTTCTGGTCAATGTTCGGATGGGTCCGCCCTTTCGTTTTGCCCAGGCAATGAGGCTTGCTACTGCCTTCTGCCTTTTTCAGGCAGGGGAAGCCCTTGGTCTTGTTGAAGTAGAAGTGTTTATCTGTGATGATCCTTTTGAGGCCCAAGAAGTCCTGGACCCGGCCTAACTCACCCGCAGGGTCACTGATTAGCCTTTCCCCACTGACAAAGAGAATCTGACCAATGGGGAAATATAGGAGCCAATTTTCCAGATGCTTGGCATAAATGCCAATCTGGATGGCACTCCAGGAGGTATCGATGAGGCCCGTAGTCCTGTTTTTGAAGGTCAGGCTCTCAAAGGTGGGGATATCAGGCTTCTTGGACAGAGTTTGTGTGTAGTCAGAAATGGCTCTGGTAACTGGGTCTCTCACCACCACAATAAGCTTTGTGCCCTTTGACATGGCAGCGATGCGAGCAGGTGCTTCCTTGGTGACAAAGTAGCTGGGAGTTTTCTCCATGGTGATCTGCCCATCAAGTGTTCTTGGCATCAAATCTCTGCCAAAGAGAAGAGGAAAAGATTAATACATTCATTAGGAAACAGAGTGTCAGTTATTACAACAGCCTTAAATCCCTATCAGGATTATTTGACTTGCCAAGGAGCAACAGTGCATTATTTTCATATTGAGTGAATTGTGGGTTGCAATTCTCTTGCCAAAAGTGAGTTGTGAGGCCAGGAGGGAAGAGAAGTGATTCCATGAGCTCAGAGAAGCAGCTCTGGGAAGCTCAATAGCAAATGTAGATTTGCCTCTGCATAACATAAAAAGTGGCCATGAAATACAGCTTTTCATTCAGAAATGCTATATGTATTTATAAGAACTAAATATGAAACATAAAATAAAAAACGTGTTCATTGTTAAACGATACAAGATTCCTTCATTTGATGTTGGGGAAAGGAGAAACCCAAAACTTATGGTCTTAATCAGAAAACTTAAAATAAACAGCTACATTGTAGGTGGGTCCCAAAAAGTACACAGGCCAGTATATATTTTTCTATTAACACATTCTTACACAAGTGAAAGTGCTAAATAACTTCTGCAAGCAGATCTGTAATTCTTCATAGCTTTCCATGATTTAGCAATTTTAGAAATCGGAAAAAACAAATTCAAGACTTCTTTACACACACAAAACCTTTATTGGCATGAAAGCATGAAACATCATGGAAATACAGGAAAATACTAAGATGCATCAGTCACTTACACTTGGCTATTCAAGCCTCGTCTTCTGATTGCATAATATAAAAATTTTGCAACAGCCTTCATTATTTCGCAATTAGAATTAAGCAGAAGAAAGTGAACAATTGAGTCATCAGAGTGCCAGCTCTTACCCTCTCGAAATGGAGTAATAAAATGAGATCGGATATCCCTATAGAGGTGGCAATTAAGTATGGTGTGGGAGTAATGGATTCTATATCTTTTAGAGAGCAAGGACAAAGTCTGTCTACATATGGTATCTGGCGGTACCTCCCTAAAAGCACCTCTGATGACAGAACATTAAAGCGTGCAAGCATGTATGCTCTGCGATGATGTGGGGCTGTTAAACTTGACAGATACTTTGCAGTAGAGCCCATGTCAAAAGTCCCCAACCTGCTTGGGGAGCATCTGCTGGCTGCGCGTTCCCTAAGTTCTTGCCTTTCGATGTCGAGAAATCTTTGTTTAATAGCAGCATAGGCTTGTTTATCTGAAAAGGGGGGATTCAAGACTTCTCTTAAGATCACTACATGTGTATAAATACACTATAATCCATGAAACAGGACATAAATTTGCTTGTACCATGCCTAATTCAAACAAAATACAAGATTTGGTTTGAAAATGTACTTCCACTTAGTCAAGAACACTTACATAGGGCAGTAGGTTTTGATATGGGGCTCACTTCAACAAAGTTTGACAAACCACTTTGTAGGCAGAATAGGGCTGTCAGCCTCCAGATAAAGCCTGGAGTTCTCTCAGAATTAGGGATGCCAGCCTCCAGGTGGGACCTGGGGATCCCATGGATCCCATGGAGTTACAGGCTCATCACCACACTACAGAGATCAGTTTCCCTGAAGAAAATAGCTGGTTTGGAGGGTGGACTCTATGGCATTGTACTCCACTGAGGTCCCTATCCTCCCCAGGCTCCACCCCCAAATCTCCAGGAGTTTCCTAACCTGGAGCTGGCAACCCTACAGCCCCCAGCCCCCACCACTGGTCAGGGAGACCTGGCAACCCTAGTTCCACTGGAAAAAAGGCAGCTTTGGAAGGTGAACTATTGCATTACATTTCTGAGAAATGGAGCTCAGCAGGAGCCATAAGATCCCCCTCCCCAAAGCCATTTCCTCCAGGGGAATGGATCTTCATAGTCTGTGTTTCAGTTAGAATCCTGGGAGAATCCAGTCCCCACCTGGAAGTTGGCAAGTCTGGTATTTATAAGCTAGAAAACCACTTCTAGGTTGGAAAAGAGTAACCACTACCTGGTCGAAACCAACAACCATGAGAAGCCAAAAATCTGTACATTTTTGCTTTAAGGTGTTGATGCTTTCTCGTGCACCCCACTGAGCATGAAAGGTCCAAGTGCCCTGCCTGAAAACAACGTAATAGCCCTACATATGTATTTAATTGGTGCATCTAAACACAGAAATACAAAAGAGTTACTTTTAGGGGACATTGCAAGCACAGACCATGCCCCTTAGGTAGCAAAAGAGCTGCAATGGCGTCATTCTCGAAGGGGAAGTAAAGACCTCTCTGAAGAATATTTTCTCCATATGATGCACATAAATAAGGCAATAGACTTAATCCGCAGATGGGATTGCCCTGCTTCACTCATTAACCACTTAGGCTAATGTAATAAAGTCATTTTACTCAAACAGGTCTAATCCCCCAAGTGTTTTAGATCCCACAACCTTAAAACCGGTTCACCTCCCATCATTTACCACCACACATTCCTCAAGAAAGGACCCACCAGACTAATGTGAAAAACAGTCCAAAGACAGATACTCTTACAAAGTCAATTGACAGGTGGCCACGTGGTAATCCAATAGCTGAAGACTAATGCCTTTTGTGGCAGCTTTTTGTCTGCACAGAGGGACTCTCCACTAATCTGTTGACACTTCCCAATAACAAAAATTGAGGGAGGGTCTGGGGTGGGAAGGGGAGACAGAGACAAGTGTTTTACATGCTGTTGCTATGTTTGATTTACACAAACAAACCAGCAGGTACAACAAACTAGCTCTGGAAGCAAGGAGCTACAGCAACAGAAATGCTGCATTTTGGTACCGCTGAGATAACCCACGGAATGCTCACTACCATAACCCCTTTTTCAATAGTTTGCAATAAAGGATGCAACGCTGGCCCGTAGCTAACATGGGGCCCACGGGGCCCGGCCCCCTAGTGTCCCTTCTGGGGGGCCCTCCCTCCTAGGCTGCCCCCAAAGTGTTCCAACTTACCACCTGCACTGTACTTCCATTTAATTAGGTGGTGGGCCCCCTGTGGCCCCCTCCCAAAGAATTCCCTAGCTACAGGGCTATGAAGACACCTGGAATCCTGTCTTTGATTATTTAGAAGTCAGAGGCATCCTATCATGGAAAAATGATTATAGACTTTGGTTCTCTCTTTGACTGTTTTTTTCCTGTGAACCTGTTATACCTTCCATCATTCCCTGGAGGACGAAATGTGTTTATTTCTGGGTACCTCACTTTAGGTGTTTCTTACTGCATCCAATATTTATAATTTCTTTTCCTTCTATTGATAGTTAAGGTTGTTTCAGTGTACAGTCTCAACTGAACTTCCGCTTTTCATGGTCCTTGTATTTCTCTGATTATGATATCTTTCAGGTTGATTTTGGTTTTTCTTTTTAATAAAAATATTTTAAAAAGAAAAGAAAAAAGGAACCAGAGTAGTTTAATGACCTGGTACCAGAGTTTGGTACCAGAGTAGTTTAAGTTCACAGAAATGAAGAGGCAGTTTTACTTGTTCAAAGAATCTGGAATTGTTTTGAATTTTTTGTCATTTCCTGACCAAATATTTCTCCCCAGGGAATACGAATGGTCTTAGTTGGAAATGCCCCATGATTTTTTAAACTACCACCTTCAGACCAGTCTTCACTGGTCTTTTTTAAAACAGACAGACCATCATTTTATGGTTTACAAAGTCAGTTCCACCTGCCATTAATCATTAAAAGTAAGATCGTTCCAGCCCAAACCCCACCCTACCATACAGGAACTGTGTAATGCTTAAAAGCTAAAGATATGGACACTGGTAGTCCTGATTGGGCAGACAGATAAAATGCAAATGTTGTAAATGAAAAATCATTTCCTTCCACTGCTGGTTCCCAGGAGCTTAACTTTGCTGTGCATCTTTTGAGAGGAGAGGAGTCATAACTCATTGTACACAATACAGGATGAATACAGAGTTTCTACCTACTCCCAGAGGCATGAAATATCGCTTTCTCAGGGTACTTGTACAAATTGCACAAGGGAGTGAACAGAAGTAGAGAAAGTGTTGGAAAGTATTATAATAAACCTGCCTTTCTTCTGGGGAAAAAAGGGACCCAACTTTCCAAAGGACTCTAGGAACCAGTGAAACAATTTTCATTTCCCCTTAACAGTATTGTAAATTGGGAAAATATGTTGGCCATGCAGTTTTATCAACACAGGAATTGTACAGATTTCCTCCAGAATCCTGTCACAAAGGAGCAGCTACTTGTAAAGAACCAAGAAGGTATTCCAGAACTTCCCCGGGCATTGTCATCATTTACCTTAAGTCCCTGCATGAAAGGTGAACTATAAATAGTATAAATAAATACAGAGCACTGTTAGCCTTACAATTGCTCTGCTTGCCTTAGTGAACACTTTGTGAGCAGGGCCGGCTCACCCACTAGGCAAACTAGGCATTCGCCTAGAGCACGGGCCAGAACTTAGGGCGCCAAACTGGGCCCGCCCCCGCCAAAGTCCCCCAGCCCCTGCCAAAAGCCCTGTATTTCCCTGACCACCGCCGCCACCTGTTTCTCCCCAAGTCCGGCAAACGCTGAGCTTGCTTGACTTGGGGAGAAAGAAGCAGCCACCTGATTTGGGAGATGCAGGGCTTTTGGCGGGGGTGGGGCCAGGTGCAGTTCGGCGCCCTGGGGCACCAAACTGCACCCAGCCCCACCCCACCAAAAGCCCTGCATCTAGTTCTGCTTTCGTTCTGAGGGAGGGGGCCGCTGGATGGGGCGCACGTGCATGGCAGAGCTGAGGGGGCCCCTAGATGGGGCACCTTGGATGGGGTGCATGTGCACCCAGCCCTGGCATGATGCCCCAGAAGGTCAGTCTGCCCCCGGGCCCAAGCGAGGAAGAGGAGTTCCGCTGGCGGGCCCCACCATGGAGCCAGGCGAGTGCTGCTGCTGCGGCGGCCGAAGGCCAGGGGGAGGGCGTGGGGGGCTGTCCGCCTCCGGGTTGCAGCACCGCGAGTCTGCTGCCTGCCTGACCCCCACCCAGTAAGGGCCTGCCCACATCAGGGAGAGCAGCCCTCTCCCCCGTGGAAGTG